TCATGAGGTATTACACGCAGCATATTTTAACTATATTCGCAGATCTTCTAAGAAACAACGAAATACAAGTAAAAATATGCATTTCGTCACATACTGTGTAATCTTTTCACCTGTACACAAATGCGAACATTTTAATATCAATTTTAAATGGAACCTTTGATTTACAGAGCTCCACTACTGATCGACACAAGCTGCATTACGGTCAGAACGTGGGAGAAAAAGACGTAGAGGTAGAAGCATGCATCCCGCAATAGCGTAGTATCATAGACGGGATCATTCATTAGTAAGGCAGCATCGACGATTCGGCATACTAGCAATTCAAAAAACAGCAGAGCTACGTTTGCAGCTGAAACATTTCATTTTTGTGTTTGTATATTAAACGCACGTTGTCAAATGTTATATGTAACTAACAGTTGTATATAGTAGTAGCAGAAGCGAGCCTAGACAAAAGCGGCTCTATTATACTAGCTAGCAAGTTAACTACTAGGAAGATTTGCGCGTCTATGTATGTGTGTGCGCGCGTGTGTGCGTGCGTGCATCCGTGCGCGCGCGAGTGTGTGCGTGCGTGCCTGTGGGCATTATGTGCATGAGCGTTTGTGTGTTTAATGTGTGCGGTCGACGTGTGTGTGCGTGTGCATGCGCGCGTGCGGTTGGGCATGTGTGCATAAACGTATGTGTGCGCTTGTGTGTTTAATGTGTGCGTGTGCGTGCGCGCGTGCGTGTCTGTGAGCGAGTGCGTCTGTACGCGCGCGAGTGTGTGCGTGTGTGCGTGCACGCGTGCGTGTGCGCATAAGCGTATCTGTGCGCTTGTGCGTTTAATGTGTGCGGATGACATGTGTGTGTGTGTGCGTGCGTGCGTGCGTGCGTTCAATTTTGTAAACACAAAATAAACAAGATAAACCCGCACCCTCAGATTAGCAAAGCGGAGTTTACGTCTGCATTTGCGGACTACACTAGTACTAGTAGTAATATGGTACTCGTACGCTAACTGTCACCATAACCGCCACACACACACAGCTCACAGGCCACTCTACAGCATGCACACGCACGGAGTAGACGTGGCTACTATGTCCACAAATGCGGCGTGTGCGCAACCGGAATAACCTGAAATATAAAATCACAGAAAACGTTGTCAGATTATGGCTGCTCGAGAAATACCATGTCACACACGAATTCACAGCTTTACCAGCCACGTGACCAAAATGGCTTCTTTACTACATTTAATACACATCACATCCGCATGTATATAGCCTATCCAGTGAAAATAACGCGCACGCACGCACGCTGTCTGACACGCGCACAATATACTTATAACAAAATAGCACATTTACGTTGACGTGTAAACGACGACGACCGTCATTTATAACCAAACCTAATTATCCATTAATTAACAAAAATAGAACAGAGCGTGCATGCTTATGGCAGCGAATTGTGCACATGACACCGTATTTCAAATATCGTACGTTGCACGTGCTAATCAAACATTCATTACTATATAAGTAAACTTACCTACAAACGTAACGCGAAGGACGATGTATTGTCACCTATATGCGTAGAAGTAAAAACCAATGTTAAAATCAACGTTAACAACAATAATGAAGATTGCTCTAAAAATGTTTACTCCAGAACAAAGTATACAAGAGTTCACGCTGTGTTACCACCATAAAACTTCATGCGGTATATCGTAATTTTTACTAGCGATGGGTAGCTTGTTAGCTCATGTTCTCATTGTCGCCAATGCACGGTCATTAAACCAACAACGAAATATATACGCTATATCAGAACGCGCTTGGGTGAATGCTTGCTCTGACAACGCCCGAACCCGTTAGGGTGACGTGTCTTTTTTTTAACTGGCTCAGTGTCAGTAGACGAATTCTGAATATCAGGTATATACACAATATATTTATATATTTATAAATACGTGATAATACATAATATGATATCTATGTTAGAACTTACACTGCTTGCCATGACGTGTCTGCTTTCGTAGCTGAGAAATTAGAAGCAGACAAACCAACACACAGGAGAGCTTGTTCCTTGTTCTTAACAGTGCTGCCCAAGTCACACGTCGCTTCCTAGTGAGATCTCGCGAGAGAGAACCCCGTCAGGGCGTGCCAAACCGGTATAAATTACAGGTACTGAAGTAGGTAATTTAGATATACGAACTTTTAAATTATTTCCGCCGAGAGATGGCGCCACGATGCCCTATTTAACTACATATACGACATGGGTGAGGCTCTAGTTTTACTAAATTAAAAAAAATAAAAATAAAACTAAGTACAAACAAAGTACAATAAAACCGATATAAAATCATGACTCTAGACTCAATAAAGTGTTTTGTGTAAATTCATACATTACGGAAGAGTTGGACCAGTGGGCACCCCCTGTCCCCTTCCCGTGCCGCGCTCCTGTGGGAGATGGGGATGCAATGCTGCACGCAGGTGCATGGAGTGAGGAAGAGAGTCAAATGAGGGATGAGGTAGGGGGAAGGGGAGAATGGTAGGAAGGTACCAGAAAGAAGGGTAGATGGAGCGAGCGCGAGTAAGAGGTGAGAAGATCGCCAGATGATGACATGTGTAGAGAGACAGAGCGAGAGAAAGAAAGAAGAGGGAGGGACGGGGTAAGGGAGCAGAGAGAAGGGTAGAGGGTGGGACAGAGAGCGAGTAAGAGGTGAGAAGATCGCCACAGGATGACATGTGTAGGGAGAGAGAGAGAGAGAGAGAGAGAGAGAGAGAGAGAGAGAGAGAGAGAGAGAGAGAGAGTTGTGAACGCTCGGCTCGAGCCAAATCTGGCACGGGCCTGATTAGGCTCGGGCCAAAAACGTCCGTGTGAACGCGCCTATATCCTTCGCTACACTGACGTGTTAGTGTAGCGTGTGGAACTGTCGACCGGGTACCAGTCTACAACACGTACTACATTGGTAGTGTCGTCGATCGATATACCGGTATGGTATCGGTACACCAGTGTTAAATAAAACGGCTTCAAATTCAACTTTATCGTGTTTTTATCGTTGAAAAAGTGCGCCAATATTACTCTACGAGTGGTAATGCATCGTTTACAGTCAAGCAATTTCAAATCATGCGAGCAGATTCAGAGAACATAGCTAACAAAAAATGGGCTGTTCCCTTTTATAGTATTAGCTAACAAAAAATGGGCTGTTCCCTTTTATAGTATAGATAACCCAGATATGGGATACCCGGATATATCGTCACGTGGACCTGCATGATTAAATTCTGAGGTTCGTCACGATGTGACGGGCTTCTCTCTCGCGAGATCTCTCGTGTTCAATAGACACGTGAACAGAATATTCCCCGGCCACCATCTTGTCTATTTGTATTTGTGATCGAAATTTTTAACTGTGATAACTTGAAAGGCCCATGATTAGAAGTAACACGAAACTGACGTAAGTTAATGCAGTATCAATTGATTCATCGCGCGGACAACGAACTTGCTCGTTATTCAATGCGCATACTAAAAGACAGCCTATGTGTATATAATCTACGGGCAGTAATAATATAGCTGTTCATGTTTAGTTGCAATCAATGCATGGACATGTGAAGGGATTTAAAAAAACGGGAATACCCCTACTTACGCACACACACGCGCGCGCACACGCACGCACGCGCATGCACGCACGCACACACACACACACACAAAGAATGCAAAATTAGATTTACAGATGCATATCTATACACCGAGGGCACGACTATTATTACGGAATGCGTTTTTCATGTTCAACTCACAGAGACAAGGGAATCATCTCCAACTGAGGCAGCAGCCTGGCCAACCGAGCATCCTGTATCGAACAATCATACCTATGCAGGCGGAGCATGCATTCAGCGGGCATGCGGAACTGTCTAAGGGCGCGTCAAACTCCACGACAGATGGCGCTCTCGCTCATAGGCTCAATCTACCTATATCCTGATATCCTGTATCCTATATCTACGTATATCCTGAGTGTGGGAAGGGGGTTCTTACACACTGCTCGCTGTCTGGTAAACCACACAGAAGCTACCATTCAGTGTCAACGCGGCATGACCAATGCCCACCGTCATGGCCATGGCAGTTGTAAAGAAATCGCTGAAACAACACCGCGTGACAGCGTGTCTATCGGCATACGCACAGGCACTTGAAGCATTTCAACTGTAAACACACGCCTGCACCATTGCGCGCACACTGACACATAAATATAGAGTCACTATGTCACTATGTCACTAGTCACTCTATATTTATGTGTCAGTGTGCGCGCAATGGCACCGGCGTGTGTTTACAGTTGAAATGCTTCAAGTGCCTGTGGGCATGGTACGTCTCGGTATTGTCACCTGGCATAGCGGACGTTACACTTGGGGGAGGCCATGAGCAGGCCTTATACGCATTTGATTTGAAAGCATCATGGCGGACGGGTGTACAATCAGGGAAGCTATCGAGTCAGATCTGCCGCATGTGATT